CATCCTCAGGAAAGCTTGAGGGCAGCATATCTAATTCATCCAAGAAGTTACCTTGTGGTCCTGGGGGTCGATAAACAACTACAAAATGGATTTTAAGAGGGTAGGTAATAGTAACTGAATGAGATTCAAAGGAGCTGCTGATACCCAAAGATGGTAAATGATAAAATGTCCAATCATTAGAGATAAGCAGACCAGTACCTCCACCTCTTCCAGTCAAACGGGAGGAGTGGGAAAATGAGAATTATTGGAGAGGTGTAGCAGTGTCCTCTGGTTTGATCCAGGTCTCTGTCAGGGCCATGAGATTTAGCTTTGAATGACTAATAATAGAAGTAATGAAATCGGCTTTGTTTACAGCAGACTGGTAATTCCAGAGACCAATAGAAGAATAAAGTAGTGTATTAGCAGACATAGGCAAAGTGTGCAGGTTGTTAAGATTGCGCTGCCTATAGTGTGTGAAACGTGGTTTGCGAGTGGTAGTGATAGTAGCGATCTGGAAACACATTGTAAGAATTGGTTATAAAAACTGAAACAGAAGTGAAACAAGTAGTAGGAAAAAGGATGAATCAAAAGCGAAACTTATATCCCTTGCCGATGTCCCTGCCCGGTGGAGTCGCACGGTAGAGTCGATGGTGTTTACATTCTTCGGTCTTCCCAGGGCTTAACAGGAGGGCTGCCGCGGTATACTAACCTTTTTTATACCCTTTTTATAGGTTTTTATACCCTTTTTATAGGTTTGACACGCATGCTATGTCAGGACCTCCTGCTGTTGACCGATTACAGTGATGGTTTCACTCATCGGTTCTGGATCCAGGCTGGTGATAGCCCCCATCTTCGGCTTGGACACTCAGTCTTGGCTTCTGAGGAAGCCTCCCAGCATCAGGTCCCCAGTATAATGCTGCAACCTCAGGACCTGGGGGTCCTTCTCGTGGGCTAGTACTCTTCTGAGTACATGCTTCGTGACATGCTCCCTATCCTCTGGCCATGGTGCGCTACTCATTTCTCACCCTGAGTGGTCTCCCGAGATTTAAGTAATTCCTTAACCTTCATGCACTTTCTCTGAGCTAGAACTCCTCTCGCTGAGGCGCTGAGGAGCTCAATGCTCCATAGATACACTGCATTCCCTGAGGTAAGAGGGATTTGTGTTTCTGTGGAAACCCCTCGTTTGTGCTTTCTACTCTGAGGAGCAGTAAGCTTTATACTCATGAATAGTTATTGGGTCCCGCTATTTCTTCAGATTCTATTTGGGTCTGGTTATCGAGATAGAGAGCATGAGACTGTGTCCAGCTGCTCCAGTGGACTGTCTCTTATTGGGCCCTACTGGGTTACTACTTGTAATCTAGTGCCCCTTCTGGTCGAGCTGAGAAGTGCTTCCCTCTCTGTGAGGGTTAGCTATGAGTCGCTCCCAGTATGTGCTGTAAGGTCCCGCCTCAGCTTGAGAGCCGAGAGCGCTGCTCCCGAAGAAACCCATTTGCAACAAACTAAGTGTTAGGCCCGTCTCTGTCGCCTCCTTGGTCAGTTGCCTTTCTGTTGGGACCCTGTTGTTAAGGTTTTTTAGACACCTGGCCGTATCCCCTTAAAGGAATCTCTTTCTTCTGATTCCAAGCCTTGAGCTCTGCCCTAGGCTTGGGCTTCCTAGCCCAGCCCTTAACGGGTAAGTTCTTTTAGGGTATGCAGCTCAGGCCCTTGGCCGAAGTTGATAATGTCACTGAGAGCCGTCAAGACGTCCTTTGGGGCAACTCCCATGGCTATGGTAGAGTTGGTACTTAGTGCTCGCCGTGGGTTTCTGGCATGTACTCCCCTCAGCATGGTGGCGTGGGTATACCATTCCCCATAGCGACCGCTAGAGGACACAGTTTGAAGTTCCATCGGAAGGGAACAGCATCCTCTAGTTTCTTTGCCATGCTTCGGACGCAAGCTTCAGATGAAGAAGCGGATTAAGTGTTATCTCAGCGCCCTTTTATACTGTGATCGGGCAGGGTAATGACGTCATAGGCTGTCGTCGGCCAATGTTATTGTCATTTTTAGATATATGCTTCAGACACCGGTCAAGCTGAAGGCGTTCCCCATAGCGACCCCTAGAGGATGCAGTGTCTCGTTCCCTTCTCAGGGAACCATGCTTACATACGTAACCTGAGACGTTTCCAGTATATATAATATCCAAGTCAAAGAGACAATAAATTACCTTGGAATATTAATATCCAAAAATCCAAAACGTAGGTATGATTTTAACTTTTTGCCTATTTAGAGAAAACTAAAAGAAAATTCAATCAGTGGCTTCAGAGATACTTATCTCTAAAAGGAAGGATTCAACTCTCCAAGGCAGATGGCATTTGACATCTAACACATGCAGCTATCGCTTTAGAACCTGATAAAGCAATGTGTAAAAAGATTGTTCAACTTTTATGTAACTTTGTATGGAAAAATAAGACACATTACATCAAAAAATCAGTTTTATCCAACATCTACAGTAATGGCGGTCTTCATTTTGTTGATTTTGCAACGTTAATACTTTTAAAATCAACTGGTTGAGGAATTACTTGAAAAATCCATATTATACCAGAATATGTCTTTTCTCAGTTGGGAGGTTTTAATTTTCTATTGTTATGTTACTACAGTATTGAGAAGATCCTGTTGCTCTCTCTAATTTCGACAAACACGCACTATTAGCATGGTCTATGATTTTCAAACACAATTTTTCTCCAACTAATTACTTAATTTGGAATAATACGAATATCTGCTACATAAGTCCCTATTTTTTGAAAACTGTTTTAAGAATGTTATCAATCAGGTTAGTCAGTTATTTCATCATGATGGTTACTTGTTTACTTATTAAGAATTTCTCTCTCACAAAAATTTTCCTGTTACTCCAAAACAGTTTGTCATTGTATTTGGTTCTATCCCAAATGGTGTCATTATGTTATTTAAGGGCTATCTATAGATACAAATAAGTATCTATTCGTAAATAAAGTTAAAGAGATTTCTTTTAAGTTTATTCATCGGTACTATCCTGTTAAAATCTTTATTGTGTCAAAATTCGAATTAAGTATAGATGTGAACTGTACTTTCTGTGACTCACAACCAGAAACGGTCTTGCATCTTTTTTGGCATTGCGTTTATACAGGAAAACGTTGACAAGACATTTGCCAGTTCATTGTAAACTTCATACATAATGACTTTGATCTTTACTTTAAAGATGTTTTGTTTGAATTTTTCACTTTTGAGAAGCAATATGAAAATGTTTACTTTCTTTGCAACCTAATTATTTTGCTTGCAAAATATTTTATTCACAAATGCAAGATTATGAAAGTTACCCCCCATTTTTCTCACTTTCAAGAAGATATTAAGAGCTATATTAAATTATTTGAATGTATGCTCACTTTTTGGTGTTTTTGAATAATTTTTATTTTTATATAATTATAATTTTATATATATATATATAATTATTTGATCTGTTTATTTTTTCCATTGATTTTTTTTTAATGTAATTGTTTTTTATTGTTGTTTTATTTTTGTATTCTCTCTCTCTTTCTCTTTACATTGGTTGCTGCAAGAACCTCTGATTTATGGATCATGCATGGACTTGTCAGCCGAGGGGATTCTCCCTTCTGTCAATGAGATACTTCTCAACACTGGCGTTTTAACATTTGGACATCTGTTTAAACTGGCCGGACTGGCCTTTGAGAATGTTGATGCTGTCATCAATTGTCTATGGTTAAAGTCAAAACGTATAGTGGCCAAATTGCTTGAAAAATGGAAGTCAGCTCTTGTACTTGAAGAAGTGAAATTGCTGGGAGAATACACTGAAGGATTAATTACCCCAAATTGTAATGATCCATTCCCTGATTTGTATTTGCTAACTGACTTCAATGAGTGTGAAGGTGTGTTTTTACAAAATATTATTTTGATTTTAATGGGACCAAATTCTGTATCTGGAAAAACTGTGTATAAAAGTTGTCAAGTCTTTAAATAAGTTTTTTTTTTACATAATACTCCTTGGCGGGCTGTCCTCCATTTAGGGGAGAATGTTAAACCAGAATGGAGAGCTTTGTATAAGTCACCCTTGTCAAAGAAAGTAGGAGACTTACAATGGAGAATCCTTTATGGTGCCATTCTAAACCTAGGTATCAGTGATGAATGTCCTTTTTGTTTCCAGAGAGAAACTGTATCATACTTTTTTTTTTTGAAGTAGGCTTAATTCACTTTTTCAAATTTTAATCGTTTTGATGAGACCTTTTCACTGGACGTGTTTATTTGTGGTTTTAAATACACTCTGAAACATTGTTTCTGTTCCCAATTATTTAATTTTATTTTAGGTCAAGCAAAACGTCTCAGGTTACGTATGTAACCCTAGTTCCTCGAGGGAATGAGACGCTGCGTCGAGAACACTACTAGGAAGATCGGACAAAATTTAAGTAGCAATTTACGTTTTTTTTTTACTAATGAAATCCAGAATTCTGATTGACCTTCTGTATTATAAGGCTATGGGAGATCTTATGCGTTTTGAAATGATTTGGTGTTACAAAAGGGCTCTGTGTGAAATAAGTAATAAGGATTTAGAGTTTACAATAAAAAAAAAAAATGTGTGTTGTTATTTTGGTTTGGTTTTTGTATTTAAAAATGAATTTTGTGTGTCTAAAGTAGGAATTGATTGTATAATGCTGTCGTTTAATTGTAATAAAGGTGTGCTGGAATTCAAATTCTCTCTCTCTTTCTTCTGAATTTTAATTGCTATGTATTGTTTGGCCATCCTTGAACCCCTGACTCTTTTCCTTGTCATATGTTTTTTTCACTTGTGTATTCCCTAAGAAAGTGTTTATATATAAAAAATTAAAAAAAACACATCTGTGCCGTGTTCCAGCGGGTGGTGCCTTGCAGGCTGAAAGGTGCTCACTATAAAACCTCAAAGAGGGGAATTGAGCGCAACTCATTCCAGCCGTCTGCTGCAACCTGAGGATGCTGTTCTGTCGTGCTCCACTCTTCTGTCAGCCCGCAGATCTGAAAGAAATAACAGAGGAATAAGCCAGTAACGAACAAAATGTTACCTTTCACTGCAGTTGGATCACTCAGCACTTCTGGTCAATCCTGGATTTTAAACTGACTTTGTTCACGGAGACTATCTGGAATAACTGTGATGGCCGAGGTGTCATTAATACATTTGGGAATGTTGCTTGTTATTGGACTAACAGTCACAGTGGCCAACGGTGGGTTAAATTGAATTGCATCTCGCATGCAAAATCTTGTACAGTTATTGGACTAAAATCACTCTCTTTATATAATTAAAAAAATATGTACTCTTAAGCACACAACACTTTATATTTTAAGAGTATAAATAGGCCTACGTATAATTTAAAAACGCATAACTGAGGTATTAGATGGAGAGTTGTTTAGTGAGGTGACCTCATAAAAAACAACCTCAGTATAAAAGGACAACTTTTTTTCTCTCTTCTGACTACTGATCGCAATTTAAAGAGAGCGAGAAGAATATTGGGTTACACTTTATTTTGATAGTCCAATTTAGACATTTTACTAACTATAAGTAACTTTGCAACTACATGTCTACTAACTCTCAGAGTAGACTGTCAGGGTAGGTTTAGGGTTAGTAGAATAAGTTGACATATACTTGCAAAGTTTCTTAAAGTCAGTATGTTGTATGTTGTGTACCCATCAACATAAAGTGTTAGAAGATATTAAGCAGACAGTCTACTAATACTCTAATGACTGCTAGTTGACATTTAGTTGCAAAGTTACTTACTGTTAGTAGAATATCTAAAGTGGACTATCAAAATAAAGTGTTACTGAATATTGTTGACCTCCTTTAATCAAAATTGTAAAAGCTTTTGTTTCAAATTTCTTCAGGGGTTCAAGACCTTCATCATTGAGTTTGTGACCCCACTGCCTCAATATTTCTCACACTGAGTAAACCTAAGGTTTGACCCTTAAATACTTTAGATTCTGTAGCCTAAGTTGACCCATATTAGAGTAATTTGTATTTTAAATAGTAATACATTCTTACCACACGAAGCACATTTTTGAAGTGAATGGAGGTCTATGGTGGATGTTTAGAAATGTGGCAGATAGAAAGGCATTTATTAGTGTTTATATTGATCTTTTATTCCTGCTGCAACATGAGATTTTTTGAATGTATTGCCATTATTCTAATTAAAGCATTTTCAGACGCAGGATTTTCTTCATTTGGTCAAGATGTGCTCGTGAAAAAAACCACGAAGGATTTAACCGAAGAATCAAGTGTGACTCCTGAGCAGTTTAGTGTGTCTGCATTCAAACCTGGAGCTTGTTATTTCTGCCAGCTTCTAAAACCACGGAGGAGAGCCAGGAGATGTACGTGTTACTCGTACAAAGACAAGGAGTGTGTTTACTACTGTCACCTGGACATCATCTGGATCAACACACCAGAGTAAGTTTCTGAGGCTGGCCGAGTTGCCCATGAAATAAAAATCAACAGGTGCTGAAAGCCGTAAAAGGCATTTCTTTGCAGAGTGGGACATACTGTTCCTCTGACTTTTAAATTAAAGACAGAGATGGGTTTACTATTGCTATAACTTTGATTTAAACAGTCTTTAAGTGACATTTACTGGTCGATGGAATAGCATAAATGTGACAACTTATGTATAGTCTACTAAAAACAATGTGAACATGAAGAAAGCAAAACATTTGTAATTATCAAATGTTCTTATAATCAACAATGTTTAAGAATACTTGCTCCTGTGCAGATGCAACGGCAAAGATCTGTAAAAATTTATGAAATAATCAAACCACTGTCTACTCTGGTATTTAATTAGAAGAAAAATGGAAGAGTAAAATAGTGAAGATTTGGTTGTTAACATGAAAAACAGTTAGCTTTTAACTGTATGATTGCTGTCTTAGAAGCAAAAGTGAACTATTACATTTGGCAGTCTCAACAGAAACACGTGGACACATGTTCTCCTTTCTGTCAAAACTAACTAATTTCTGGCCTGCCTCCTTCCTTATCACAGATAAGACTGCCAACTCCTTGCATAGTTGAAACAATTCACATGCATCAAACTTATCCAAAATGTTCATAATAACAATTTATTGTTCGTGATTAGAGTAGCTTATCTTTATTAAGAGTAGCTGTGGGAAATGCTTCAGCTTCTGCTTCAAGCTCTGACTTAGTAAATTAGTAGAACTCTATGTTACCGGATAAAGCTGCCATTTTAATTTGTTGGGGAAAAACATTAACACTTAAACACTTGTCTAGCATATAGTACTGGCTGAAGAGATTGTGCTGAGATCAAAGAAATGCTTGCATGACAGGATGTTTGCAGGAGTAACTCTAAGCAGATGAGGCCTATGGCTCCCTGACTACAGCTGTTCAGATTTACTGAGCCTGAGTGTGAGTCTGCTACATTAGTTTCCATACAGTATAAATAAGACTAATTTATTGAGGTGTAACCAAAAAACCACAGCCTAATGAACTATAAGGTGGCCTGTGGTGAGTTGAAGTGAGATATGTCATGTAATCAATGTTAAACAACGTTGAACTATGCCTGTTGTGTATGATCAGTCTCATGGTCTTCACTTTTGAGCTGAGAATTTTTATTTATATTTTTTAATGAAACACAAAGGATGTTTTATTGTTATTCTTACTGTCAAATTTATCTATCTATCTATCTATCTATCTATCTATCTATCTATCTATCTATCTATCTATCTATCTATCTATCTATCTAGTTTCCTAACTAAACTAAGACCATTTGCACATGAACAAAATGTGCACATGAAAGCTCTCAAATTCTTGCACATTCGCTGCCCCTTTTGTGCTTGTTTGTTAAATATTTGGCCTAATTTCATAATGCTGACTGCCATCAAGACGAGTTCAGTTATCTAAAATTAATATGTTTTACCAGATTCAAATCCATGTGTTTGTGCAGTGAGGCTGGGATTTCCAGCACATCATAATCAGGGATGGCGTTTTTTGACCTCCACATTATGCATGGTTCAGTATCACATTTCAGACCTCTTGGAAGATTGTGTATGTAACCTGCTCTGTTAAATCCTTCTGGTTTAAACTTTTAGCTTCTGACATTTTTATGTGGATGGGGACGTGATACAGTATAATTTAGAGGGAGAATTTGGAAAGAAGGCTTGCTAGTTGAAGCCCTTTAAGTAAATCAAAGCATTGAATGTCTATCTCACTTTCACTCTTTGGCTTTAAGCAGTGCTGCAATAGTGTTTTCTGTAACTCAAAGGTCTTACATTTTTGTATTGGCAGGCGCACTGTCCCATACGGCATGTCAAGTTATAGAGGCTCCCAGCGGGTACGGCGTTCTGCCGAGGGCAGCGTAGGAGGTCAGCGCTGCACGTGTGCTTTACACAGCGACCAAGAGTGTAATGCTTTCTGCAGTCAGAGGTAACAATAAACTCTCAGATCACTACAAAAAAACAACAACATAGACTCATTGGAAAACGTGTCTTTACCTGCATTTTTGCTAAATTAAAAAGAAAAAACATACCTATATATACAATTCACTTCAGATTCCAGTTGAAATGAACACTGGTGTCAGTAAATTATCAAAAACTTGAATTGCTTTTTTTTACACAAATTGTAATTGCATGAGCAAATTATTGATTAATAAAGACTTCCTTTTCATGTGGTTCCTTGAACAATACTATGTTATGATCTCAAAAAACTTTCACCATTGCACATGATTTGAAAACTACAATAATAGTTTTGCATCACATAACCAGCTCCATATGTTTGGCTTTTCTGGCATAGTAAACTTGCTCCATAGCGCACCTGGTACAGCATTGCATTTGCAATGCAAAGTGCTCAGGTATGAGCCCCATGAAACATGAGCCATGACCAAACAGATTTCAAAGACTTGCAGAAGTGAGGTGAAATGGCACGGCTGCCTCATCAAATTCACACTGTCGGTTAGATTTAGTCTATGAAATCTAACCGATAGATTGGTAACGTTTTAGCACTACTCATTTTATATCCAAACTTCTGAAACAACTAACGTAACAAAACATTGCCAGATTCATGTTCATAATGCACCTTTAGTGCCACTTACTGACCATTTCACATTGAAAGTGTTGCGAAATGTGCAAGAAGAAACATAATATAATTTTGCAGAAATATCACCACAATTTTTTCCAATGAGCCTGGATTGTATAATACAGAGTATCTGATCCGAATGGGATGTGTGGACCACAGATATATAGCAGTAATACAGTAAAATGCGTGTCTTTATCTAAATAACATTAAAGGGGTCATGAACTGAGAAATCAACAACCCGATCTCATGAAAGTGCGTATAAAAAGTACGCCAAATAAAAATGAAAACTCGTGGTATTGATATGCAAAAATGGACTTTGGCATGTATATGCTACTATGCGATGGGTAGGTTTAGGGTTGTGGGGTAGATGCGTATCATATGTACGTGAAAACTGCGTATCATATGCACGCCAAACACAAGTGTATCATATGCACGCCAAAGTCCATTTTCATGAGACCGGGCTTGAAATCAAAAACATCCTGTAAGCTTCAGAACTCAAAACTTTCTCATATTGAAGCCAGTCTGCCAAACGACAGTTGTGGAATGTGCCGCTCTATGGCGTAATAGTGTGGCTAAACGCCGCCTCCGCACTCTAAGCAGATGAGGCCTATGGCTCCCTGACTACAGCTGTTCAGATTTACTGAGCCTGAGTGTGAGTCTGCTACATTAGTTTCCATACAGTATAAATAAGACTAATTTATTGAGGTGTAACCAAAAAACCACAGCCTAATGAACTATAAGGTGGCCTGTGGTGAGTTGAAGTGAGATATGTCATGTAATCAATGTTAAACAACGTTGAACTATGCCTGTTGTGTATGATCAGTCTCATGGTCTTCACTTTTGAGCTGAGAATTTTTATTTATATTTTTTAATGAAACACAAAGGATGTTTTATTGTTATTCTTACTGTCAAATTTATCTATCTATCTATCTATCTATCTATCTATCTATCTATCTATCTATCTATCTATCTATCTATCTAGTTTCCTAACTAAACTAAGACCATTTGCACATGAACAAAATGTGCACATGAAAGCTCTCAAATTCTTGCACATTCGCTGCCCCTTTTGTGCTTGTTTGTTAAATATTTGGCCTAATTTCATAATGCTGACTGCCATCAAGACGAGTTCAGTTATCTAAAATTAATATGTGTTACCAGATTCAAATCCATGTGTTTGTGCAGTGAGGCTGGGATTTCCAGCACATCATAATCAGGGATGGCGTTTTTTGACCTCCACATTATGCATGGTTCAGTATCACATTTCAGACCTCTTGGAAGATTGTGTATGTAACCTGCTCTGTTAAATCCTTCTGGTTTAAACTTTTAGCTTCTGACATTTTTATGTGGATGGGGACGTGATACAGTATAATTTAGAGGGAGAATTTGGAAAGAAGGCTTGCTAGTTGAAGCCCTTTAAGTAAATCAAAGCATTGAATGTCTATCTCACTTTCACTCTTTGGCTTTAAGCAGTGCTGCAATAGTGTTTTCTGTAACTCAAAGGTCTTACATTTTTGTATTGGCAGGCGCACTGTCCCATACGGCATGTCAAGTTATAGAGGCTCCCAGCGGGTACGGCGTTCTGCCGAGGGCAGCGTAGGAGGTCAGCGCTGCACGTGTGCTTTACACAGCGACCAAGAGTGTAATGCTTTCTGCAGTCAGAGGTAACAATAAACTCTCAGATCACTACAAAAAAACAACAACATAGACTCATTGGAAAACGTGTCTTTACCTGCATTTTTGCTAAATTAAAAAGAAAAAACATACCTATATATACAATTCACTTCAGATTCCAGTTGAAATGAACACTGGTGTCAGTAAATTATCAAAAACTTGAATTGCTTTTTTTT